ACTGTAGGCTTCTAAATCTTCCTATTTATAGTATTTCTCTTTTGCTCCCCCAGCAGAATATTGAGCCAGCTGTTTCTGGAACTCTTTGTTTTCCTGGGTCTTGCTGTTACACCCATTTATTCTTCTTGTGCAGTAGCCTTAATAGTTGTGTTCATGTCATTGTAACAACGTGACAGATGGAATGAATCTTCTTCCCCTTCCTTATGTCCTGGTTTGATTTCTTTCTCTGTACGTAAGAGCCACGCTGTGTCTTGCTGGCTTCCCGAGATTTGCCTGGAGTGTGGAAGGCCCCTGACTTTTCAGATTAGACTCTTCTTTTGTTTGTAGCAAGTCAAATCTTAGTCTTCCCGTTAATAAATATTCAGTAACAAACCAACTGCGTTTTAGCCGCTGCCTAGAAGCAGCACCTTCCCCTGTGTTTCTTTGTATTGATTCCTTTTTAATTTGTTCACCTTTCCTTGCCAGATGAACACATGTAATAATTTTACCATGTCAACAAATTAAAATACAGGTACTTTGACTCCTTTTTGTTAGACCCTGTGTGTGCCACAGAGTTGTCAGACATGGTGTGCCTTGCTTCAGTCCTGCCTTTGTGTCTGCTCATTCCATCCCTGCCCCAGGTCCAGCTTCTTTTCCTTTACTGTGTTTTTGTGTTTGCTACTTCATTGGGGTCCTATTTCTGTAATATCCTTCACAGTGGTTCCAGAGCTCAAAGTCTGACACATCCATCCAAGTGAATGGGGTGACTTCGTTCTGTGTCCCTCTGGAGCAGTCTGTAGTGGAAGTGAGAGGCTGGCAAGCTGCGTGCCAGCGGTGTGGGTAACAGCCTTCCACCTCTAGGCAAATGTTCCATGCTGTCTGCCCTGCTTTCCTGAGTGTATGTTCATAGTGAAATTGTGAGTCTCAGTGGAGTGGCCAGCCATTGGCTGCCAGGGGTGCCCTGCATATGTAGTTGCAGGAGCTGTCCTATATGCCCCTTCTGGCCCTTTCACAAGTCTGAAGCTAAGGGGACACTGGTGTCCTTTCAAGTGGAGCTCTTTCGCTGTATAGCAGTGGCCCCAAGTGGGCTGAAGCCATGGTGTGGATCCGCAATCCTTGTTCTCCTGTCATTCAATTACCATCTCCAAGCTGTAGTTGCCTATGAATGTCTAGCAGCCCTGTCCTTGTGAGGGGAGACTTGTTTCCCAGTGTTAATCCAAATGTATGGTCCCTTGTCAGGATTTTCCAAGTTCCTCCTTTTCCCCTTCACCCCAATGAAACTTGAACTCTGTTTAGAGAAGACTGAAATCTTTTCCTGAGCTCCCTGCCACAGAGCCTGGAACCTGGGTTCCCACCTTAATGGACAGAACCTGCAAGTTTCCTGGGGTTTATGCTTGGGTAAGCACAAAGATCGTGAGAAGGGACCAATTTAAGCCAGTGGTCTTCAAACTTAATAAGCGACAACCAGGTATCTCTCTCTTGCTGGTGGGAAGGGCTGGCTTTGAGCAGGAGGAGCAGCACTCTGCTCAAGGACAAACTGAAAGATTTGTTTTGCAGCCACTAGGGGATGCTGCTTTTCCATCCAGAGAAAAGCTAGGTTTGGATAGCACTGAGCTTCAGGCTCCTATCAGTGTTCTGGAGATGGTCACGCAGACCTTGCAAACCATCAGGAAATAGGCAGGAAAGCTTCTGGAGGGACCCTGCCCATACTTCGTGCTTCCCATGAGGCTGCCTACGCTACCGTACTCCCTGTGGTGTGGGAAAGGCTGAAGTCCTCCTTAGGCCAGGACCCCTTGCAAGGAGAGGGAAGGACTGTGGATTAAAATAAAATTCCCCCTGAGTTTGTGAGGCTGCAGGTGCTGGCAACAGGAGCTGTGGCTGAGAAGGATTAATGCTTACAGGAGCTGACTCAGCAGTACGGAAAGCAGCCTGTCAGCATTGCCTTGGAAAAACAAACCAGCTCTGAAAGCAGCTTTGCAAAAAGATACTTTCCCTTGGGCTGGTGTTGAACCATGACTTGGAGGCAGTTTCTGTGACAAGACTAGAGCAAATTCATGAGATTTACCTTCCCATCTGTACAGCCTGCTGTGCTCTACTGGAGAAATGGCAGTATTCTGGCAAATGATAAATAGGCATGGGAAATAGCACAGACTACCCATGATGTCGTCTTCTTTAATTGCCCATTATAGCCATCAAGGCATTGCTGCTCCCTGGGGGACCTTAGCCCTTTTTAAAAGTGGCTCTGCGAAAACGAATAGGAATTGAGGATTCTCACGTGGACGCTTAGAATGCTGGGAAAGACCTACTGAGAGGAGAAAATTTCAGACATGTCTGAGTTGAACAGTATTTGGGCCTGGGTAATGCCAGGGCAGTCTCTTGTATTGGACTCCCTGCCCTGCTGTCTGGCACTCTGGTGCTACCTCTCTTCAGAGGGAAGCTGGCTGTTGCTGAGGTTCCTGGAAGTTGTAGAAATGATTTGCAGCAGGACCTTTTGTGTGTGTTGAACAGTCTGCTCTGCTCAGGCTAATGGTGAGCTCCACCCTGCCCTACCCTGTTTGGTGGTAGGGGCAGGGTGAGGTGGGTAACTTACCGACACAAGATGTAGCATTGGCTTGTTCCAGAAAGTAACTAACCACCTAAAATAAACTTCAGTGGGGTATGAATTCTCCACTCTGGAGTCCAGACAGGAGGAGCTCAGCACTGCTGTGGGATGGGACATGTGTGGGATGAGACAGATTTTCCCAAAATAGTGGTAAACAAGTTGTATTGGTAGTAGTAAGACCTGCTGTTTTTCTAAGCCTCCGTTCTGGTACTCAACATGGTCTCTGTGATGAGAAGTAAAACCAAGTCCCTTGCCCATGTAGTTTTTAAAGAGCTCAGATGACTTAATTTTCTTAAGAACTGGATGCTGGTGTACACACCCTGTCTCAGGTTCTCAATTCAGCTTCAAACTAATTCCCCTCAGTTTGAAGTGAATTCAGGTTTCTGACATGGTCTCCTGTGTGACATAACTGCTGTTTCCTTGCTTTGAGGTCCCTCAGTTTAAATCTAAGAGGAGTGTAAGGTATTAAATATATATTTGCAGATATCACAGCTGAAGCCTATGGGACAACCTTGGGCAAATACTCAGCTTAGAGACTTAGGAGAGCAGCAGCACTGAACTAAACCCTCTGCTGTGTCTTTTCCCACAAACTTTGCACTCATGTATTTGGAGTTTACAAGGATGTCATTGTGGATTAAGTCTACATGCTAACACCTACAGCACGCAGCTCCAGTCCTTTGTACTTGGGCAGTCCAGCTACTTGCTCTGAGCTGGGGTCTACATGTTAGGGTAGTAAAGGCCATGGTGTTTCCAGCTTCTGTAAAGCAGTGCCATGATCATTTTAAAAAGTGCATGCACACATACACACTAACAGAGCTTTGTCTACGTACCATGCAGCCTTGGAGGACAGCCCCAAATCCTCTGCTACTTTCAGTCATCCACAAAATTGCCTGAGGCCCTTTGAAAGTCCGTGAGAGTCACCTCTGTTGAGCAGGCTCTGTCCCCATGGCAGCTGCTTTATTGTCTCCCTTCTGTTTTTACACTACTTGTCTCCATATTACTAAACAAACCCAGAGAAGATGCATGTGTCCTATACAATTGTACATAATTCCCTGCTCATGGGCATTTTGTTGGCTGGTGATAATGTAGTCCCTACCCTCACCATAGCACTAGGCTGCAAGCTGCCAGGAGAGAGAAATGATTGTTGCTAGACAAGAGTCATGTTTCCTCTTTTACCTTCACAAGTGTAGAGTAGGTCAGAGAGAGATGAAAGCTGCCAGCTGTGGTTGTGATGGTGAAGCATGTTCTGTGACAACGCTGCTTTCTTTCCAAGTGTGGTATCTCCTAAGTATAGGGACTGCAAGGTGGGGCAATGGCAGGGCAGCTGCCATGAGTAGAAGGGCCTGTTCATGCCAGAAAAACAATGATTGTGATGCTGGCAGTAGGGCTGGAAATTTTGGTTTGTATCTCCACCTTGGAGCCTCTCAGGCTTGTGTGTGTTTTTTTTCAGTGCAGATTAGAAGTCAGGCAGGAGTCAGCTAAGGGGCTTATTCACCCCAAACTTAAGTCCTGTATTTGGACAGGGTGCTGAATCCTGTGGTGTGTCTGCTTTGCCTACCTTCATGCTATGCTGTGATGCCAGGTGCTTTTGGGAGGTGTAGGGAGACCAATAAGTGCATTATTTGACCAAAGTTAGTAAGAAAACTAGTCATAACCTATGACCCACAGAATTTTGGAGGAGATTTCTTGGCCCAGGGCCAACAGCAAGGTTAATGATCCCAGTCTGTCTGACCAGAGGGCATGGGCTGGTGAAAGTTGATGGTTACTGGCTATGTCCTGCCACTACTCAAGTGCTGAGTACTTGCTGTGATTGGAGGCCTGAGCCTGATTCCCAATTAGATTGGGCCATAGGTGCCAAACTACTGCTGCCGCTGCTATATTTTTCAGGAAAAGTTTCCACGTGAAAGGTGAAACAAAGAGGAACTCAGCCTAGGATCCAAAACCACGAAGCCAGGGAGCATGTTTACAGAGAAGGAGCCTAAGACATAACACACATTCCACAAGTTGTGAAGACATGAAATTCTCCTGTGAGACAGCAGCTCACAGTGTGTTGCATGCTTGACCTGCTCCTCCACTTGATGCATGATCCCAGCTTTTACAGGCAGCCTCAGGAAGTTGGGTGGATAGAAAAAGCAACAGAAATTATGTGAAATTTGTCTAATGAGTCACAGGCATCTCCAGGAGCTTTCTCAGTGCATTGCTTTTGGAGGGATACACAGCAGGCTGGATAGCCGGGGTGTGGAGATCTGCCCTTTCTGGTCACCGCAGACATCAGGTCTCCTCCTCCAGCCTCTCTTCATAGTTCCAGTAATAATCAATCCAACTGCAGTTGAAACAGGCATACTGCAACAGGGAACCCTCCCCTGGAAGCTGCTCTGGAAACCTCGTGGCATCCTCTGTTTTCACCGCTGCAGCAAACATGAACCTAAAAATTGTCCTCATCCTCCTGGCTTTGGCTCTTGCCACCGTTTTAGCTTTAATTTGTGTGCTGTTGACTCGAGGAGAAAAACCAACCAACTGCAAGTCCCAGCCTCTGAGAAGCCAGAAGGAAAAGCCCAGGGGCTTCAGCTTGGTGTTTGCTGATCTGACTCCAGAAGAAATGGTGCAAGTGGTGAAGTATCTACAGGAAAACCTTGGGGTGCCACTGGTAGATGCCTCTCAAGCAAACCCTTCTGACAACTGCATTTATTACATTGATGTGCAACTCCCCGCCAAGGCAGAGGTGCTGCAGTTCTTGGATCAAGGGGGAGGCCACCCCCCACGGCAGGCGCTGGCTGTGGTGTACTTTGGAAACCAACCAGACCCAAACATCACGGAGTATGTGGTGGGCCCTTTGCCCATCCCAACGACTCACCGCGACGTTACTTTGGAGAAATATGGAGAGAAGCTCCCATACTACCGCAGACCAGTGCTAGCTGTTGAGTACAAGCAGATTGCAGGGCTCCTAAGGGAGACAGTGTTCCCCATGGCACCAACATTTATGAGTCAGACTTTTAATTATGATCGTACCAATTTAGCAGTCATGACCTCAGCCCCGCGGGGGTTCCAGTCTACTGATCGCAACACGTGGTTTGTCTTGTTCCAGAATGTGAGCGGCTTCTTCCTGCACCCGGTGGGGCTGGAGGTACTGGTGGACCACAGCAGCCTGGACTTGTCCCAGTGGAGGGTGAGCAAAGTGTTCTATAATGGCCAGTACTATGGGGATATGGCCCAGCTGGAAAATGAGTTCAAGCAAGGCCACGTGACAGTGGACAAAATTCAACAAGCCCCTCTAGATGGAGGATTTTCTTCCATGAGGCCCAGAGCAGCCCCTGCGGCACCATTCCCTTTGCAGTATGAGCCTCATGGTCCTCGCTACCACATTGAAAACAATGAAGTCATTTACCAGGCTTGGAGCTTTGCTTTTGGGATGAGCGTGAACACAGGGATGCGGCTGTTTGACATCAGGTTTAAGGGGGAGAGGATTGTCTATGAAATCAGTGTCCAGGAAGCCATGTCCATCTATGGCTCCAACTGCCCTGGTGGGATGACAATCAGGTACATGGATGGGAGTTTTGGCATAGGGAGATTCAGTTTCCCATTAGTCCAGGGTGTCGATTGTCCTTATTCAGCCACCTATCTGGATGTGCCCTACTTGGTTCAGTCACAGACGCCTAGCATTAATAAGAACTCTCTCTGTGTGTTTGAGCTGAACTCCAAGTCTCCTTTGAGGCGCCATTACTCAAACTTGCAGTCCATGTACTATGGGGGCTTGACTAACTCTGCGCTGGTCATTAGATCCATTGCCACTGTGGGCAACTATGACTATGTCTGGGACTTCCTCTTCTACCAGAACGGAGCTATTGAAGCCAAAGTCCAGGCCACAGGGTATATGAGTTCTTCCTTTCTCTACGGTGATGGTCTGGAGTATGGCCACAGGGTTGGGGAACACACGCTGGGGACACTGCACACCCATTCCATGAACTACAAAGTGGACTTGGATGTTGGAGGTATGTGTCTTGGTTGATAAGGCATATCTCTGTGCCTCCATCTCTAATTTCTGCCAGTGTATTGGTGATGTGTAGAGCAGTGGTAAAGTTTGACCTTGTAATCTACAGAACTCTGGCTAACGGGCAGCAGAATCCCATGTTTTCAAATTCTCTCATCCTTGTCTCCCACTGTAATTTTTATACATATGTCGACTTATCAAAGTGAGTCCAGCAAAATCCCAAAACCCAGGATTAAACACCAGTCAGCTCAGGAAAAAGCGGCAGCTTGAAAATGTGTGCATTTTTGTGGCCTCTATCCTGCCTGTGGCATTTGGCCAGAGGTGTCTAGGCAGACAGGGGAGGGGCAGCCTAGTTTTGAAAAGTGAGTTTTGGAGCCAAAGGTTTCCTTGCTCTAAACGTGGCACTTCCTCCAGATCTCAAAGGAAATCCCCTTCTGTGTCTCAGGTTCTCCAGTGTAAAGTGAAGTGATGCTGCTCCTGCCCTGTGTTGTGGAATTAGTTCGCTTGAGCAGCCCTATCTACTGCCTCCTGTCTGCTCTGGAAACGTTTGTAGTTCAGGTCTCAAGCCATCATAGTGGACTCCTGTTTCTGCTAGAAGCACAGCTGTGTTTTCCATTCAGCAGCACCTGAATGGAAAGAATGATGAGCATCATTCAGAGTGGGTTTGTTGCGCTATGCCAGGGAGCACCACCTGATGGCTGAAATAATTAGGTGCTTTCCTTTAAACCTGTATTCATGTTACTGCAAACCTCAGAAATGTACGTATTGCATCAGTGGGCAGGTCCCAAATTTCTTGTGTGTATGTCATGATTTATTTGTAACCCAGCAAGATGCCAAGGAACCAGGTTAGTATACAGGGAGAAGGTTGCAACTTTGAAGTTCCTTCCATGAAATCTGTCTGCAGAAAGGGTGCAATGAAGAGACACTTGGCATCTGCACTGGAGCAGGCTTGGCATTCGGACACAGATCTCACACCTCCTCTTCATCTCAGTGACAGCTCTCTGTTAACAGCAATGACATGCTGACTCCTGGAGCTGCACCAAGGAGACTGGGCTTAGCTTATGTTAAATTTTAGTAGTGGTTACTGTAATGCCAGAGCAGGCACCTGCCAAGCACAAGGCAGAGGTTACATGGGGTAAGGGTGTGCTGGCTTGTGTTTACAGGAGATGACTGCACCACTGTAATTACATGTGGACAGACATACTGGCACCCACTTTCTTCATGTAGTCAAGGCCTGAGGGTACACAAAAGTTCAATGGCCTGCCTAAGTTCCTCTGCCAGACTTGCTGCATCCCTGGGCTTTAGTCTTTCACCCAGAGGCAGCAAAATCCTTTCTTGGTAAGCAGGGTAAGTTTTTTGGGCACAACTTCTGAAAAGCAAGATCTCTCCACACTGAAATCTGAACTGTCAGAGGTGTGGGGAGTGTCTGCAAAGGGAAGCCATGTTGTACACCAGGTACAGTAAGCCAGAAATTCTGTGGCATGACTTCAATTCATTGCCCTCTTAAAGGTTTGTCATCATTTCCTCCACCTAATGCTGAATACTTGCGTCCTATCTTTGCAGGCAGCCTCAGGACATTGGTCTGAATAAATGAGCAATAGAGCCTACTCTTAGCCTGGTTTATAGTGTCAGGGATCCTGTAGCTCCAGTAGTCTCGGGTTCATTTCTCTTTGAAGAACATGCAGAGGGATAAGAGGGCAGATGATGAAGATCTGTCCAGTCTACTTACTACAAATTTCAGGTCTCCTCCCCCAGCCTCTCCTTATTTCCTGTAATAATTAACCCAACTGCAGCTGAAACAGGCAGACTCTGGAGGCCTTGTGATGTCCTCTATTTCCACCACTGCAGCGGGGCTGGAGTGGTACAGGCCCTAAGGTGCATGGTTGACAGGCTAGAGGTCGCACGTTTGAGGCCATCAGAAGCACTCACAGCGTGGTCCTGTCAGACTCCTACAAATCTGCAAATTCTGCTAAACACCTTTGTCACACAAGCACATAAAAAAGAAAACCAGCCACTACAGCAAACATGAACCTGAAAACTCTTCATCCTCCTGGCTTTGGTTCTTGCCACCATTTTAGCTTTAGTTTGTATGCTGCTGACTCAAGGAGAAGAATAAACCATCTGTGATTCTCAGCCCCCAAGCATCCAGAAGGAAAAGCCCAGGGGCCACAGCCTGGTGTTTGCTGATCCTATTCCAAAAGAAATGGTGCAAGTGGTGAGGTACCTGCAGGAAAACCTTGGGATGCTGCTGATAGATGCCAAACCCTTCTGACAGCTGCATTTATTACATTGACGGTGCAGCTCCCCACCAAGGCAGAGGTGCTGCAATTCTTGGATCAAGAGGGAGGTCGCCCCCATGGCAGGCACTGGCTGTGGTGTAGTTTGAAAACCAACCAGACCCAAATATCACAGAGTATGTGATGGGCCCTCTGCCCATCCCAACAACTCACTGCGACATCACCATGGGGAAATATGGAGAGGAGCTCCCATACTACCACAGACCAGTGCTAGGCAATGAGTATGAGCAGTTTGCAAACTTTCTGCAGATGGTCGCATTCCTCATGGCCTCGGCTTTCCTAAAACAGGATTACAACAGCAACAATATCGTGTGTGGGTTCCAGTGCATCGATTGTAACATCTGTTTTGTCTTGTTCCAGAATGTGAGCAGCTTCTTCCTGCACCCGGTGGAGCTGCAGGTGCCGGTGGATCACAGCAGCCGGGACACGTCCCAGTGAGCAAAGTGTTCTATAACCCACTGTATGTACTATAGGGTTATGGCCCAGCTGGAAAATGAGTTCAAGCAAGGCTATGTGACAGTTGAGAGGGTTCAGCGAGCCCCTCTAGATGGAGGATTTTCCTCCATGAGCCCCAGAACAACCCCTGCAGCACCATTCCCTTTTGCAGTATAAGCCCTGTGGTCCCTGCTACCCCATTGAAAATAACCAAATCCTTTACCAGGCCTGGAGCTTTGCTGTTGTGATGAGCATGAACACAGGGATGCAGCTGTTTGACATCAGGTTTAAGTGGGAGAGGGTTGCCTATGAAATCGGTGTCCAGGATGTCTTGACTGTCTACGGGTCCAACTGTGCTGGAGGGATGTTGACCTGGGACACAGATGGGAGCTTTGGCATTGGGAGATTTTCTCATTAGTCCAGGGGGTTGACTTTCTACCATCAGCTACCTATCTGGGCATGCACTTATCCAAGACCATGACCCCTACAAAACTAGAGAATGTCTTTTGTATATGTGAGCTGACCATTGAGTCTCCTCTGAAGTGTCATTACTTGAACTTGCAGTCCATGTACTATGGGGGTCTAACTCTCCCCTGGTCATTCAGTCTATTGCCACTGTGACCAACTATGATTGTCTGGGACTTCCTCTTCTACCAAAATGGAGCTATTGAAGCCATAGTTCAAACCACAGGGTACATGAATTCATCCTTTCTCTATGGTGATGGTCTGAAGTATGGCCACAGGGTTGGGGAACATATGCTGGGGACACTGCCTACCCATTCCATGACCTAAGAAGTGGCTATGGATGTTAGAGGTGTGTATCTCTGTATGCAAAGCTTCTCTGTTAACTTCTCTTCCTGCAAAATGTCATCCTTTCCTGCCTTTAAATTTGTAAACTGAAGCCCACAGCAGACTCGAGTAGCTCCCTTCTATCCTGTGCAATATAGGACAATCTTCATGGCATGCTCATCTTTCCTTTCGGGGTGGCAGGGTGTGTTAATGTGCTCTGTTGCTTGTCAGAGCCTAGCATTTAGGAACTGTTGTATAGCATGTTGATTCAAATTGGTTAGCCTAGACCAGAGGGAGAACTATTTCCTGTGTTTTGGGCGACAAAGGGAATACTAGTCTCAGCAATACAAGTTATCTTCCAGTTTTCATGGATGGAAGGAAATACAGGACAAACATTCCTGTTAGTCAAACTCCAAATCCAAAAAATGGCCACTAGCTTTAAGAGATGATCACTGAATTCATATCAGAGTTGGCATCACAGAGTTGCCCTGATTTTCTGTTGTATGTTTTGGCTTCCTTATTGGAGATGTCAGCACTTGACTTTCTGCAGTCATAAATATTATGGGGACCTGGCTGTGTTGGATGAGTAGTTATAGGGGAAATGCTAGATATTATTTCCTAAGCAGGTGGGTTTTTTACTAAAGTGGACAAAACTACAGCATTTTTCTCTTACTGTTGTGGATGTTTTGACTTCTTCCAGTGTAAAGGCTGCTAATTGAGGACTACTTGTTCCCAGTCACACTTCCTTACATTCCCTTCAAAAGCAGGCCAACTGAAAGCTCAGTGCTGGTCTTCCCCAAACATGCTGCCAGTAACAGGGAGGCAATGGGGACTGGGGTGTCCCTAACTCCTCTTTGAAGCAGGTTATGCTACTTGTGCTTCTTCATCCTCTGGAGTAACACGTTCCCATTGCTCTTCTATACTTCAGGTCTGACCTGACTTTTCAGTGAGAACTTGCCCTGAATAGCATGTGGATGAAACCTGTAGCAAAAGAAGCCATTGTGTGGAGATTGAACCCTGGGATAGATGGGGTGACCCTGGCTGTCCTTAGAGAGACTCCTCACTCCTGTGCACTTCAGGTTAAGTTGCATATCTAAGAGTGAGCCTGGGAATGGACCACAGTGGTATAAACACTTTCTTCTTGAGCTGAGAAGGAGGACAGTCACTGCATATTCCAGCCCTAAATTCCAGTGGCAGGGGCAGGCTAGTCTGAGTGCTCCAGCTGGAGTAGGTCCTGTGCCCTGGCCAGACTTCTGCAGTCCAGCAAAGTGCCTGTACTAAGCCATGGGGTTCTGGCCCTGGGAGCTGGAGGAATGTGCTTAGGGCTTTGTCTCCAGAGCAGGCTGTCCCACGGGAGGGGAGAAGTGGGGCGCTACTACCATACATCCTTGCCAGCGCTGTCTGTGTAACACTGATTTTATATTTGTGGATGGAACTGGCTCAGTTGCACTCGCGTCCCTTTCTGATTAGCCTTGCTGAAGACAGGGGGTTGGCATG